CCCAAACTATTCTATGATTCTAAGATTCTGGACAAATAATACAGAAACACTACCTCATACAGTAGAAAAACAGTAACTCCTTCACATCTCAGTATTGTTTAAACTAGTAAAAAGTAGTGAAGCTACCTGAGGAAATGAACATTTTAATTTACTAATCTCTTTGGTTAATGCTATCTTTTAGCTCCTCTAGAACACGGCAGGAAAACCGAGAAGCAATTGAAGAAAGAGATCTCAGTTCCCCAGTGGTAGTTTTGAAAATTTGTATGACTATATTATACCCTTCACGTAAAATCAGAGCCTCTTCCTTAACCTGAGGCTAGACCAAAAGAATAATCTTTTGAGATAATAATACAGGTTTAACATTTTCTGTAGATGGGGCAGATTTCCAAATCTAAAGAAGATATTGCCAGGAAAGATCTACAAATGATCTTAAATACAATCTCAATTTCTATCAGTCTCAATATATATATATATTTTGACCCACGTTGCCTAAGCCATAAAACTGTAATCAGCTTAGGGCTTTTCATGCCAAAGGCAGGGGTAGCTTCATATGCAATGAACAACTCACATCTAATTGAGACTCCAGATTTGGATTTTGAAGCTGGAAACTTTTATTAAGTACTGGCATTTCTTAAAACTTTATTTGGATTGAGTCAAACTACATCAATTTAAAAAAAAAAGATAAAAAAAATCAAGGGGATTTTAAAGCTTACTATGCTGAGAAAACTAATCTTATTTTAATTTGTTCTATCAGTATGCAATCATACAGCCAAAAAAGTTTGCAGGGTAACATCTACTGCGAACGTAAGTTTGTCCGTTCTTTCAGAACCCCGAAGTAGTCTCTTCCCACAAAACTGGCTGTTCTGTAATTTAAAGTTATGAAGAAAATTGCTGTACGTGTGCATGCATATATATATATACACATAAAATAGATAAAATACTAAGATTAAAGACTGTATTAGAATATTCAAAGATGGAGGAAAAAAATCCATTTAAATTCGGTTGTAACCACTTAAATGGCTACAATGGTTCATCATTTAAATCATGTCCTCAATTAGGAGCCTAATTTCTAGGTTTTTTTCCTTTTTCATATTCTTGGCTGATCAGGTACACACAGCTCCTGGTGTCTTCTAGATAGTTTGGGCACTGTCTGTGCAACACACAGAGATGCTCTTTTTGGATGCTTAATTTCAGTTTGTTCTCATTCTATAAATTGGTATGAAACAGAAAATATACACAATCAAGGACTTGAAAGTTTTGTCTTCTGAGAGAACAGAGTTCATTACTTATAGTAGAAGAACCTCTTAAGAATAAAAATAAAGAGTAACAGCACTTCATATACGACATTCAATGAAAGAAAGTTTTAAAAATCCATGCTGCGGGAGATACATTTTGCCACTTACATCTGTTATCATTTTCCCTCTGGTCTTGTTTCTTTCCCTGTGGTTAGCTCGTTTCTGTTTTTGCTGCAAAACTCGTTCCCTGGTGGTGCGGTATTCCAGAGCAAATTCGCTAATAATTTTGCAGAACTTATTGATGTTGACTTCACGTATTGCATAGGGAGGATGGCCCATAAATAACAAAAATGAGTGAAACCTGGAAAACAGTGAGTTCATAAATGCAAAGGGAAAAAATCTTTATTGATGGTTTCTGGGGAAAAAAAACACATTTCAGTGAATCCATTTATTACTTTATTAGCTCCCATAATTTCTTTTGTGCTACAGAATTTTCACGGATGCTTTGCATAACACTGGCATGTTTTATAATTAAAACCATGAAAGTCTAGTCTATGATAACTTCATCCCAGTCCACTTTCCCAGGCTGATCCAGGAGATAAGATGTTTATGGAACTCCATCTACTTTATATGACTAATTTGTTATGTGAATGACCAATTCCATTTCAGTTATAGAAAAAATATTTATTAAGTTTCAATTCTATTTATTTGTATTAAGCAACTTCAAAGAGGCTGTTAGGATGTTGGGGAAAGTCTAGACAAGAAGAATGCAGATTTACAGGCTAGCAAACACAAGAAGGAAAGAATTTCTGGTTCACAAAACTGACCATAAAATTATATTATCTACCAAGTACTTTAGTTTGGGATACTCTCAATTCACAGTTTTACTGCTTCTGTGGCATTCAGAGCTTTTGCACTATTTGCAACTTTTACTATTGCTTCTATATTGCATGATTTACAATAGTTCACTGAATGTTTAAAAATGTATGGGAATTCCTTTTAACTGCATCTACATCCCTGATGATAAAAAGTCTTCCCAATCCTAGAAAGATGCAAGTACATGGATACGCTTTTGGAGAACTATAGTAGTAGTTGCAGGACATAATAGGAAAAAGTTAATATTTTTCTTATTTGTACAATGTGTGTGATAAACACAACAGGAAACTGGTGAATTCACTTCCACTGCAATTAGGATTTCTGCTTACTTATGGCATGAAACCCAAGTCATTATGAAAACAATAGAAGAGCTGAATCAGCTTCTCAAGTGTATATCCACAAATTTGGGATCATTTGGAATCCAGATCCTAATTTTGACCACAGCAATTTGGAAATTATTCAGAAGTTGGAAAATCTCTCAAAATTTCATTAATAAGCAGGAACATAGATAAATTATTCAGATGACTTAAGCTACATTTGTGAATCTGAAAAAAAAAAGCTCAGGTGTATTGCAGAATTATCATGAATATGTATATTTCAAAGCACTGCAGCTACTGTTAACTCCATTGGATGAAAGTAAACCCAAGAGCAAGTCCTAAGGAGAGGAATCTTAATTCTGTCTTCTGCTGTGTAGGCATAAAACACATAGTCATAGATCTTGCAAATAGGAGTGGTGCTGCCTATAGAAGAACTCATTGTACAAGACTTGTTTCAACTTCTGCATATGACAAATTTGTCATTAGAACTTCATTTTTTTGCTACAGCCTGTTCTCATTTATCAGACAGTAAGCCAACCCCCCTCAAAAGTATTCAGGGAAACACAGAAAATATGACAACTTAACCATAAAGCTGCTAGCTTTTAGGGACCAGGAGTTAAAAGACCCAGTTATTGCCCCGTGGGAATTAATGATTGCCTGGATCATTGCTTCTTTCAATCAGAAATATAGAAACTTTCTGGAGTGGGGATCTTTCTTAAATGGCATCTATAACAAAGGATGCACCACATACATCCTGGTAACATTACTTGCTGGAATGTGGATTAAACACTTATAAAACATGTATTTATGATGTCATAATTTATAATTTTAGCAAGTCATTTGTTATCAAGATATTGCTGTCACCAATCTAATTCTGTACCTGTTAATTATTCTTCTATGAACAATCTTCAGGATTATGATTCTTTCTGCACAGTCTTTAAGGAACTCGGACATTTTTTGCTTTAGAGTTGGCTTCATTTCATGCTTTGCTATAGCTTTAAGGTGATCCCATGATGCTTTGCACCGTCTTTCCATCTGACACAAGTTTTCCTGGAGTTGTTCAAAGTCAACCTGAAAAAAAAGAAAAGAAAATAAAATGTAACACTGAGTGAAAACACTGCAGTAGTATCCTTGGACACTGAACAATGCAATGTATGTATAAGAAAGGGTCAATGTAGTGCCAGCACAACGTTAATTCACATTATTAAGTACTACTAAATAATTAAGAAATAGCTTTCTCTGTCACACTTTGTCTAGACACGAAACGTTAGTAAGGAAAACTGAAAACAAAGAAATACCTATATACATATATATTTGGTTTTAGTCTTGGCAGCCTAACACCTAAAGAATGGACCATAAAATATTGTGATGTTTTTTTTCCCTTGCTAATGACTTCATGCCTGCACCAAGCAACTGCATGACTCAGTTATTTCTGAGGTAATACAAAACTTTCTCTTTTTCTTAATCCTTTTCTCTACTACTCATAGCTTTTTATACCCTGTTTACTGCTCACTGTTGTACCCAGCCAACACTTCTCCAATTTAGGAAGCACTTGGATCTATTCCCTAGCCATGCACTGACTTGTTAATAGATTATCTACTTCTAATCACAAGATTCACGGGCCAGAATTTTTTAAAGCTCTATTGAAAGTAAGTGTTATTTGGTGATCTCAGCACTAACTTTCATCCTTCGACATACAGTACGAATTTGCTGGCTTGTAACAAGATCATATAATGGCTTTGAAAGTCTCTCAACAGAGTTAAAATAAATGACTGCATCCTACAGTAACATGCATCAGGACAGAAGCCAACACATTCCACAGAAGGTGAGAGAGAGCTTCTCCTTTATTCATCAACCAAAAAAGGTGTTCAAATCGCAATGGTCTACAGAAGACATTCAGGATGCATTGCGAAAAACTGGACAAGTGCATTAACGACCCAGCCACAGCACACAACAGATGAAAAAAGTAAAACTACCCAACATGTTATTGAATTCTGAAGAAAGGAAAAATTTATTTTATAATGCCACTTCACAGTTCAGATGAACTCAAGCTATAAAATACAGATTTAGCTCTGTTTCTAAACACGTCAGTGTTTGGTATGTTACAGTTTGGTACTCCAGTTAATTCCTTAATGCTAAATGAACATCAGTGTCAGAGACAGGTTTTAGTTCACTCTTTTTAGCTGTGTGCAGCACCCACTGCTGAGACCTATACTGAGGACAGCCATAAGAAATGCATTATTATTAAACAGCTCCTGGTATTGATTTGATTTGTTTTTGCTGTGATTTATAAAGTGATGAATTTTTCCTCTTCACAAGGAAATAAAAACATCCTTTGATCCATTCTGCTATTCAGAAAAGCCCTGCAGGCGGAGCAGCTGTGGGGTTTTTGTTTTCTTTATATCCGTATCAATGCATATGTTTTAAAAAAAAGAAAAGTCCTTTCCAGGTCAGTATTTTCACTGTTGATGATAAACACATTGCTGCTCTCCACAGATGGTATATCTAAAACACACATGGGGAAAAATACTACCATTCCTATTAAGAAAAAAAAGTCAAGAGGAGGTTTTTCTAGGTCTTAACTGGTAAGAATTATCCAACCTGGTTGGGGAAGTCTCTCAGCCCCTGCAGCAGAGAAATTTAATTTTATGGCATTTTATGACAGCTTTCACTGAAAACAGAATGAGTTTTAATCTATCAAACAGCTCTGAGGTTCAAGCCTGTAGAGGTTCAAGAGACATCTCTGGAGAACCACATATCTGCAGGGAAAAGATGTGGCAAATTCCTCGCCACATGAAATCTGCCAACAGCCAGCGCATTCACAAGCGTGGGCAGTTTCAGCGGGGACTGGGGATGGAAGGTCTGCCTAAGGGATGAACAGGACTCTTTGAGCACAGTCAAAAATTCAAATCTCTGGGGAAATCCTAAAGAGACAGCAGCAAGGAGAGGACCCCCTGAGCTCCCCTGGAATAAATCTCCATGGAGCACAGGTGGCTCTGCTTGAGCAGAAGTTGTAAACTCCTGGAAGGAGTAAAGCAGGAAATCCAATATAGGATAATGCGTCTGTGAATTCCCCACATGCTAACTATCCTGTGCCCACAAGAATGTGACAAACCTTCACGAAATCTAAAATCTGCCGAAATCTAAATCACAAAATCGAAAAGGCTGCCAGCTCTCCAGAGTTTGGTCACTTGTTTGTGGACAGAAAGGAATACACTTAGAGAAAAATACCCATGTGTGAAATATTAAAAGTCAACATTTTTCAGAGACAACCATGTACTCTACCTGATATTTCATGAAGTGCTATTTCACCAGTGCAAATTTTGCAGGCTGGCACAGAATCCATTGCATTTCAGTCTGCTCTAGGTCTTACACGCGAGGAGTTAAGTGAAGCTTCTTCACACGCAATATACCGTACATCATCCCTTTCCTCTATCCAGGGTGTAGAAACTGCCTCCCAACAGAGCACCTCTCCATTTTGTGCACATTTGTATCATAAAACAGCAGGTAATTGCATCAGTAGAAAATGTAAGTAAAATACAAATCCATCTGAAAAGCAACAATTTAGCCTCACTTTAACTGAGGTAACCGACCATGAAATGAAAGATGAGCACAGTGGTCCAAACCTAGATCTAATATTTGTGCACAAATGTTTAAAAGCAGTCACATTGTTCAGCAATAGCCTTGTAATTTCCTTTTTTTTTTGTCTTTTTTGCTATTATTGTTGTTCTGTTTAGGATGTCTTCTAACACTGAAAGTGTTATATACAAATATAACAGTAACAATGATGATAAACTATCCCCCAACTACATGTCCTTGTGATAACGAGAACAAGAACTTGTGTAGAGTAATAATGACAATTATTCAATCTAATATGCATAAAGGAAACATGAAAAGGCATATAAAATACCATACCACGTCCCTGCCAGTCCACACAGCATTCCCAAGGGAAGAAGGATTGCACCTTTTCATTTATGTGTTTATTTCTTTACTAAAAGAATTAATGCTGCATAATGGTAGAAAGACGCGATTCCTTTCTTTATTTTGTTCTTTCTTTCTTGAAAGGAAAGAGGCACCAATTCTTGCCTGCAGCTGGAAGGCCATGCTGGGACTAAGGAGGAATTCGGGTGAGTTTTGCATCACATTGTGGCTCCAGGAAACCTCAGCATAGGAGGTGCTTGGACAAGAACTGCTGTGGTGTTATTTTACAACTGTGCTCCACTGAATAAAAGGAAACAGTAATCTGAATTGGTCATTACAGCTTTCTCCCTGGATAGCTGTTGTGCCCAGCCCCAGGTTTTGGAGGAAGGTAGCAATATACATTCTTCTTCTTCCTCTTCAACTCAGTTCACGTATGTGCAAAAGACATGCAACCTTGCTGGTCCTGCTTACTGTTACCTTCTGCCACAATTTTAAAAACCAATCTCTTTTTTTCCCTCAGGCAAAAGAACGGGCAGTCTTAGGCTGTTACGCAAAATAAAAATGACTTGACTTTCAGACACTGTGTAATGTTCATTTGCATTTGTAAACCAATTTAGGAAAAGCAACTTTCTAAATGCTCCTGGGATATATTTGATATGTTCCTCCTTTCTCCTCCCAGGTTCCTCTCCATTCACAACCACACTAGCTGAAAAATACTCAGAACTATTTGTTATTTATCTGTGAAATCTCTTGCTAGGCCCACTGTTCAGTCTTCCGAGAAGTGCCTTTGTAGACACTGTTGCATCAGACTGGAGTAGCTGGAGTCCGTTTATCCAAATAGGATTTAAAGACTAGTTTATGTGACACAAGACCTGCAGGGTCAGCCTCGTTCAGGAAACCACTGCCATAAGTCACTAATGGGCAACTTAAAAAAAAAACAAAACTATTTTTCAATTTAATGCATCATCATATTTTGCACAAATGACGCTCAGACCAAGAATAAAACCCTCCAACCACATGCCAGCAATGCCAGCACTCATTTTAATTTCTTTATATCATTATTTATTGCTTGCTACCATAGTAACAGATGACTCTGCCATGAACAACAACAGAAAAAAGAATTCTACCAGGTTTCTCACTTCATTGGGCTGAGACTTCAATATTGCATGATACACCTCCTGCCCAAATGACTTCTGTTCTCGCTGGTTTTCACCTGACTCAAAAACTGCCACCACCATCAAGTGGCTCAGCGTTTACTTCCCTGCCCATCCAGGTTCCACGAACACAGGTGCTTTAAAAGGCTTATTTTTTCCAAGTTCAACTCCATGCCGTACATCCAGTATCACCTGCTGCGTATGTAAGTTCAAAACTTTCTAATTCATGAAATGCTAGACCATGCCCTAGTCATTCAGGCAGGACACTATCAGGGAGCCTTTCTGATCTTTGGGTTGGGATGTTATTTCTCTGTGTGGCCACAAATATCTCATGGCAACAGAGGAACTGGACTCTTATTATTTGTTGAGGGAGAGGAAGAGTTGCTTTGAGGTCACATTGGGAATTAAATGGGTTGGCTCAAACCTAAAGGGGCTTCTGCTGTATATTCCCTAGGGCAGCATATGCAATTTCAGGTATACACTGCCGTTCACAGCAACAACTGTAGCCGCTGTGAGGTAACAGGTCATTTTTTTTCGGCGTTCCCTCAGCTGGAATGTGCTTTGAACACACGTTTCCTCTTCCAGCTCAATCTCCTTTAGTCTCTGGGCTAAGCTCCACCACTGCTGAGAGTACAAAACGGTCCTAAAATCAAAGATGCTGCACCTGATTACACTCACGTTTCCTGCCTCCTATATTTACATTCAGCCCTTGAAGAGGGTCAAAAATGTCACAACTGGATTGAAGTAAGAAAAACCAAAAAAAATAAATGAAGGGAAACTGGTGAAGCTGAGGTTTCTGCTTAAAAAAGCACTTATTTTCAAAATCACTGTAAATTATCCAAAGTTTTGTTCTGAAGGCCAGTAAATAACTTGTTATGTAGCCTCAGTATCCTTGTTTAAATTTTCTATTGTTTGCTATTATATTTATTATTTATTGCTACAGCTTGTTTCTTTTAGTGGTGAACATATCAAATCCAGACATTTTCTAAGGAAGAC